TGTATTTGATTGTGTTTATCTGCAGTTAGTTACACGAATTCAGATATGAGATGAAATCATTTAGGGATGAACGGGTTTAAAAGTTTTTATGAGTTTTAAGAGTTTTTAAGAGTTTTAGCCAAATGCTTTATAAGATAGTATAGATATATATAAGAGGAAGGCGATTTTTAAGAGGTATGTGTTACATATCACATCTCATTACAGACACAACATATATCGATGACTCCCTTCTATGTCACACGATTATCACAGTGTGAGTATCACACGATTGGGGCAAAATCAAGAACTTGTTATTCTGTTCGGACATTACAGATTTATAACAGTGTGATAATAAGTAGAAATTGTCAAATTGAGAAAAGACTCTGAATCAGTAACATACGATGATTCTCCTTCTTTATCACAAGATTATCACAGTTGTGAGTATCAAATACTTAGGGTAAAATCAAAAAATTGTTACCCTATTTGGGCATCACGGATTTATCACAATGTGATTATCGTAAGAAAAAAATCTATAAATCTTTGCCCTATGACACATTTATCACAAGGAATGAATAATCATAATATAATAGCGATTGGGTGCTGAGAGACTGTTATCACAGTTGACTAATTGATTAACAAAAGTTGGCTGAGTATCACATGATTATTACAGTTAACACTTTGAATCGATATGCAGAAGTTGATTGATAATCACATTGATATTGCAGTAAACACTACAAGTCGAGCAAGATGGTTGGGTATCACATTGCAGATATATAAAACGATGGGGATGGGGACGTGAGATTCGACGTGATCAGTTCCAATCTAAAATCATAGGATAATTACAGTTAATTAAAATAACATAAGAAGTATAAAAAATACATAATTCCATTACTACCCTTATTGATATATTTTTATTTATTATAATTTAAATAATTGGTTAAAAGGTTAGGACCCACAACCGTTCTTCCATTTTCACAAAACAGAGGAGTTCTCGTTTCGACTTCCATCCACCCACCCACACACATATATATGAGCGATGAAATACAAACCACCTATATTTGTAAGTATAAACATTTGGGACAAATGCATTTTTGGCCTTTAGAGTATTCAAGTAAATCAAGGTGTTTAACTACCAATTATGGTTTAGATGAGTTTTGGGATGTGCCTAACCTAAATCCTTTATTGTTATCATTTGAACATGATTTATATATTTGTCGTAATTGATCAGAATTACATGTTTTGAATGGACTTGTCTTTTAATGTCGAATCATCTAATCATAGACTGTTATGAAATAGATCCATAGGCATGTGAGTCAGTCATGTTTGATAAGCGAGGAGTTTTTATGTTCTCACTTTGAGGCTAATGCCTGAGTGGGTATAATGGTAGTCTCGGTATTGGAAAGTGGGGTTGGACTTTGAGACCGTAGGAATTGCAAAGAACAACCCGTGTGGGGTTGGACTCTTGGACCGTGGGTATTGCGAGGGTGTAATCTCTTGTTTATCACACTACGTGACCCTGGGTATTACAGTGATGAACACATAAGCAGTCACGGCATCAGGACCCATGCTTTGAGGTTTCAGCCTAGCAGAATTGACACCAAGTCATTGGGGGTGTTTTGGGAATGAACTCGTTTGGAGTCGGGTCCAAGACCATTGACTTGTAGGTGTAACTCTATGGTGTGTAAGTAGGCACTAAGGTCCGAGGAATTGCAGAGATGAACTCGTGTGGGGTCGGGCTTCGGGACCTTGGGTATTATGGTGGAAACTTGAGAGGAGTTAGAAAACGAGACTGTGACCTTATGGTATTACTTAATAATGTTGATACATGACTTACTTTGTGTTCCAACATAGTCAATGGAAACGAGTCTCCCCCAACATCGAAAGGTGTTGCTTTGGGTATCGAGTTTATCTATGCTTCTAGCATTATCTATATTTTTGGGTGCTTTGTGAAGCAAGTCTGTCTTATCCCTGTTGCAAAATCAAAATTTGAAAAATGGAATCCATCATAATAGCTGTTTCATGTTAAACTTTAACTGGTAACAAAAAACGACCTCTTGCAATACAAACCTGCTGCCAATTACAAACAACATTGTAAAAAGTTCTAGTCATGCATTACATTATTTGATAGGATTGAATTCATCTAATTCATGTAAAAAGTTCTAGTCATGCATTACATTATTCAGTTCGTACTTAATGCCCCACTAGGTCATTTTATAAAGGTAATCAGCCCTTTTGCCAAGTCTAGCAATGAATTTTAAGCATATTCATGAATGAATAGTTGAAGCAAAACCATGGAAAATAAAAGGTATATGCGTATATGTATTCACTTGAAAATTCATGTATGAAAATTAGCCAAGTATATATGTTAAGAGAGTGAGAATATAGTTACATTAATCACACAACAAAGAATGAAACGAGTAAAAAAAAACCCCTTTACCACCAACTGTCAACCATGCTTTCTCTTCACGCTCATAATTGATTATTTTCCAGATAATTGATGCTGCTTTATGTACAACATCATATAATATCCTCCAACTTTCATTCCACTTCTGAAACAAGGTCTTCAATCTCCATAAAACTTTGCTTTGCCTGCTAACCAATCACATCTATCAACTTACATTTCTACACCTTTTTACTCAAAATACTTTATAACTTGAGATTTTTGATGATAAATATATGCTCAGGAGTATATATGTGGATGAATGAATAGTTAAAAAAGAACAACAGTATATGTCAAGTAAACAAGAAAAGCAGATTTAAGCCTGACCTGCAGATATCTGGAAGCCCTGTTTCAGAAGGTTACAATCTATCATCAATCTGCAACCTTCCAGCCAAGATCATTCAAGAGTCGGCCATCATACCATTTCTGGGTGGTGCAAACCCACGATCGTTCAGAATTACCAACCGGCCCAACATCAAATTCCAAATGTTCTGTTATACAGATCACCAGAACTTGGTAGCCGGAACTTTGAATCTTCGTAACCCGAATAATATTTGTTGAAACCCAGTCTCTCATTTCTGAGAAGCTCTGCCATTGCAATATCATTTCCACTCTGAACTTCATTCCAACCATCCCAATGGACGTTAGACATCAGAGAACTCCTTGGCTGTTGGAAACTAGCCTGCTGCTGATATGGGGATCGAGAAGGAACTCCATAAGCATCTGTTCGCTGGCCAAAATTATCTCCTCCTAGCTCAGAAAATCTCTGGTTTTGTGGGGAGAAAGATCTTTGCACCAAAAGTCGAAGTCTGTTATCATTTTCAAAAGATGTATGTTGTGAAGGGAAGTTCGATCGCATGTCTAAGCCAGGGCTACTGATCCCACCAGGAACCCTACCACCAACCGCCAAAATTGCAGGATCCATAAAGTCAAGGTCACCAACGCCACCATTATATACAGGAGCTGGTGTTTGATGCATTTTTCTCATTAAGGACGAAGTCTCATACATATGATTCCCTAGAAAGTGGCAGGTGAAAGAAACATACCCAGTCAAAATCATGCAGACCGAGTGAAAGCTAAATAGGAAAATTAAGAATATGGTAACAAACAAACCAGATAGATTGTCGTAAGTCTGTTCTATCCTCTCATTAGAAGTGAAGCCTGGAGGTGGCGCTCTGCTAGGACCCAAAAATCCAGGAGGAGCAGAAATTTGGGATCTTGAAACTGTGTCATATTGCCCAAAAGTAGACGGGTGAACTGTGAGACACATTAAAGTTCATGCATGCATAATCATATTGAAACTCTTATCATGTTGACAGATAGAACAAGAATGTCCAACAGAGCATGATTCACATTGTTTATCAGATATGCAAAAAGATTCTGTCATCAACAAAATTATAGCATAAGATGATCATAATTGCTTCACCCCGAAAACAATTCAAAAATACATCAAAGAGTCGTGTACAGAAAAGCAGGTGCTAAAAATAAAGGAAAATCGACCTTCCACAAAGTAATACTGTGTCAAAGTAAAATTACTTGAGCCCTTCTAAATTGTTAAGAAAAAGGTTGCCGTAAGAAAACAGGACTTTTTCTAGGGAAACTTTAAATTTCACTAGGAGAACGTCTATAATTGTGAATGCTATATTCCCTATAAAATCATGTCTACAGAAAGCCACGGATGAATGGACGAAAGACATTTTAAAGAACAAACTGAAGGAACATAATGATGTGCCAAGAAGCAATCATCAACGATGTAATATAACTAAGTATGGTATAGGAGATAAGAGAAATGGAAGAAGTATTATAAATAGATCGACAGATATTACCTGAAATCTTATTGGAAGACATATAAGTATGATTGCTAGTAGTACGATCAGATTCCTCAAAACTAAAAGAAGAGAAACCATTAGCATCACTAAGCTGGCCCTGATAAACATCTGTGTTACTGACAAAATCACGGCTGACATTCTGACGATTGAAACCATGTCCAAAATCACTAAATGTTGGTGTGATATTAGATCCTTGATCTATGCAATCATCCTCTCTTGCAAAAGAGAACCTTGACTGATTGCAGTTCTGTGTTTTCCTAGAACCAGAAACTCTATGAGATCCCTGTTGTTTATCACCGTCGCCCAATAATTTAGCCAAGTTCTGAGGTGAAGTTAATGACTCATCCCAAGGGTCAAAATCCATCGACAGAATATTAGATATTATACTGTTTTCTCCTAAATCTAAGGCAGTATTATGATCCCCCTTCACTTCTGCTGTATTATCAAAAATTCCCATTTGCTTCCTACTCCCTTCGGTAGCAGGAAAATAAGAATGCCCATTTGAGCCTTCAAACAGAGAATCACCATCTAGATTGGAAGAGTGTCCGTTGACTACTGGCATATTAAAGGTATTTGGAAGGGAACCTTTCTCAAGGTTTTGATTCACAAATGGTCGATCTAAACTACCATTAACTGAGACATACCGCTGCCGAGGAGAATAACCCATAGAATTATTCAAATGAGATGACTGAGGAACATTCTGTACATAGCCTGTCTGGGTAACAACTTCTGGATCCCTGAGCCTCTGATCATTAAAAGATAACAGATCTGCTTCAGCTTCACTAATTGCAACTTCTTGCACTTTATTCYGCAAATCAGGCATTAAACAAGACTGTTCTCTTGTATCACAAATATCCATGGTAGGATTGGCAGCCTTCTTTGCTTTATTTAATGCCAGAGATTCTGATGGTTTCTCAGCATCACATGGTTGTGATCCATGGTTCCTACTAATGCTGAGTGATGACATGTCAGAGGATAAATTGTAGATACTTCCTTCATCAGAAACATCCAGGTCCTTATATGGAGCAACTTCAGAGGATTGCCTGTAAATCTCTGATGATCTTGAGAAGTTGGGTACTGTACTAATAGATTCAGTTTTATCAGTTGGAGAAGCTGTATAAAGATCGCTGCTTAAGGTTGATGCAGGTATATCGGACACCATGTTTCTCTGGTCTGAGCCCACAACCTCTTTTGCACATTCTGGATGTTCCAGCTTATCTTTCCCATCAGCAGTTGGGCTTTCTTCGCAATGCTTCTTCAGCATCTCATTGCCATGTGATGAAGGGCTCACCATTGCCGTTGAAAATGACGGTGTGGTAGAGGTGTCCACCTTTTGCTTCGAAGATCCATTGGAACTCACTAGATTTGCAGCAAGACTCTGACTATTTGAAGCACGTGTTCCCCTGTAGGACATCAATCATTAGATATCCAAAACAAATAAAATTGTGCGCATGAAAAAGGATGTACCATGAGGCTGCTGCAGGAAGAGCTACCGATCTCCCAGAACTACTATTTGGTGGGGAACCTTTCATACTGATTGTGGAATCCTGTAAGTGAGAAATGAAACAAACGCGTCATTAGAGCCAAAATCAAGGTGGATTGCTTCAGCAATCCTCGGTTCCAACACAATTATCAACATAACAATGAATCACACCCTCCGCCACAACTCACCATCATTTTTAATTTCATTAGTAGCTTTCTATTCATTTAGCATTTACTTCCTCTTTAGTTGTTTTGCTTCTTTTGTCCAAGATCGGGAACATAGTTTTCTATTTTATGATTTTGCGGGGTCCATCCACAGATAGGACCATTTCACTTCAATTAAATACTTAATTAGAGATTGTGTTGGAAATATGTATCATGCATTTGATGAGATATAAAACAACTAGAGTGAGAAGCCTAAGAGCACCAACTCCTCACAATTCTCTAGTTTCTTTCCTTCTTATTTCCCTGATTTCTTGCCGCAATTTGTCAAACTCCCCTCCATCGCCATCTATGGTACAAGGCGGAAAGAAAAAAAACATTTCTACTTTACGTGATCATCATAGTAACTTAAGCTTTAAAATGATCTCTACAAAAGCAACAGACTGCAGAAAACATAAATAACTTATAGCTGAAATAGAAGTTCCTTGGATCAAGTCATAAGACCAAAGAGTCCATAGAATTCCTTGCAGAAACGTAGAAGCAAATAACAAAAAGGTCAACATAGAATATCTTACATTTGTAGTACTTTTACTAATAGGTTTTGCCCATGAAGTGCTGTTATTAGAGTAGTCATCTGCTGGAGGTGGTAAAATATTCCCCGAACGCCGTTGCATATCATATGTAGCACCAGTGACTTGCTGAACTCTACCCCTTTAAAATCACTAGGTAAGTTAATTCGGGGACGATAAATTATCACATGATTTCAACTAACAAAAAAAGCCAAATGTGTCTAGGGACTGATCTAACCGTATGTTTGAGGTTAAAGACTTTATATTGAAAAGGCAACTCCTCTCTAAACTATCAATGAAGTTTTATTCAGTAACTTCAACTGAATTATAATGTGTGTTATAACTTCCTCACACTCCAAAGACTATTTGAATCAAAACAAATGTAACATCATAAAAGCATGCATGACAAACCAATAACGTATCAATTTGGATTAGCAATATATTGAACTTTCTACTTAACTGAAATTTTAAAAAAAAAGCCAGTCAGAGTTTTATGATGCATGGATGTAGCTAGGAAGAAGATTTTTAATATCACTACTTTGACCAAAGAATAAAATGCTTTGGCGAGTCTCCACATTAAAAACTTAACGTACATATGCATCTGAACGTCCCCAGAGATCTTTCATTAGAAACATGGACGAAAATGCTTTGACTCAAACCATGCATAAAGAAGTTAAACAGAATGTAAATCTCAAATAAATGTTTATAAGAATAATAACAGTAGCAATAATAAAAAGAAATAACAATATTTGAAACCGTTACATATATTCATTTATGTATTTCAATACCTAAATTACTGTACAGAAAACCAACCAACCTAGTGTCCCATGCAGAGTAGGGCTTGGGGAGGGTAAAACATACCCAGACCCTACCTCGAGGAATAGAGAAAAAGGTTTTAAACATATGGTTCTGAAAGTTAGAAAAAAGTTTGAAATAGAGGAAATAGAAAAGAAACATGAATGGTAGAGAAGTAGGAAAAGGATAATCGGACAAAAAGTAACAAGCACAATACTAAAGCATGTACAAACAGTAAAAGCGTATGAAAAAACTAAATTTACTGTATGTGATTTTCAATTTGATAAAAAAAATCTTCTAAGTTTCTTAAATCAACAATATAGCTTTGGACCACACCCAAAAACCAAGATGTGCAGTATTCAGCACATGATCAAGTACAATATGACTCAAGGCAGTCCAGCATAATGCTGTGATCCAATATCAGCACCTTCTGATCACAAATTTAAGGATGAATTATTGTATATTTATAGCATCTCAAAATTGCAAAGATTGGCATCAGAACACCTAGAGAACATCCAAAATTCAGTTCTGAAAGGGAGATTTCCATTTGGAAAAGAACAGACCAACCCACCCCTATCTGACAAGTTAAGTAAAAGATATGCAACGCTAGCTCCTTCATAGCTCATCGTGGCTTAGAAAAAGAATTCCTTCTTCAAGCAACATCATTTCTAGACATTTAAGTGCATGGATGGTTCCCAGATGTAACTAGTATGCTTCACGTCAAAAACTTAATTAAAGATTAAAGAGTGACCAGAAAAAGTTCCCCTGAGTAGCGAAAGCCTCCTTTTGGTTGCTATGTGGAAGGGAAATGTCTACTCTTACATATCTAGAGAGTTAGGCATGCAACAAGGATGGTGCATGACTGCATTCTATTAGGAAAGCTGCAGAACAGGTGGAAGAGAGAACCAGCACAAAGAGAAGCTATACACAGGGAAAGGCCATTATGTTCAATTTGAAAAATGGAAACAAATGGAGATGGGAGGGCAAAGAAAAAGTGGGACTGTCTTAAAAGCTTCATTATTTTGGCTGCCAAAGTAGCCTTTACCTTCTACCATATTTTTGAGTAAATATTTTGTAGTCTTTGGCAAAAGGCTGCACCAACATATACATATCCTTTAGACTTTTCGACATAGCAATCAGGTTGCTCCTTGTTACTTACCCTATGTGCCTTCATTATCTAAATGACTACATCTAACAGAATAAGATGTACCTGTAAATTAGATAGCTACAACCATAATTCTGAATGAAATTAACTTGGCAGGCATCCAACAACCATCTCAAAGAATTACATGTTCCTACCATGCTACTAGTTGTTGCATGCAAATACATGTTTTCTAAGGACTGGTAATAAATGCCACAAATTTGTTCACAAAAAAGTCATGCAAAAACAATATCAGGAAGTGGGTAAGCAGAGAAAAATCAAAGCGCTGTGTGGTGTTGTGTTATAACAATAGGAATATACCTTGTATATTCTGATATTATTTCATCTTTCGTGAAGCTGTCCTCTTGAGATCCAAACTCATGCAAATACAAGCAATCAGGATTGGTGCAAGGCTGGATCAACAAAATTAAATTGCTCAATCATAACAAAGCAAAATTTTACACCTCCCAGTGAAAACTGAAAAATAGTGAGAGTAAAACATTAAATTAAATTAGCACCATCAACTCATTCGCATATCATACCATATTCCTCAGCCATGCATGACAATACTTTGTGGTCCCAAAACATGCTCTGCAAAAAAATTTGAATTCATCAACTAAAATAAGAGAAGAAAGAAGCATCACAGGACATATTATTGGGTTCCAACCTCAAAGGTCTACCCTCCAAGACAAACCCATGTACTGATTGTATACTTCGAACCGCTTCATCCTCCTTCGAGTAAGTAATATATCTGGACAATATAAATATCCAAAATATGGAAGTTGGTCAAGATAGGGAAAATTGTGCAATAAGTGAAGAGGTGGAAAATCTATTCCCAGGGTATTAGCATGATTAACAAACTGTACCTTGAATAATTAATGGTAACCATGACGTTTATATACAACAGTTGATAGACACGCATCTTTGAAGATGCCAAAAATTAAAATGTTCAAACATGATGAAATCGAAAAACATATACACACCCAAGAACATTGAACTAGATCAAATTTCAACTATCCATGTCAGAAAGAGAATTGAACTTACACACTACAAGTATTGTTTGCAAAATGTTGAATGGCACCAGCTGCTGTCCGAGATATGGAAACCTTTAGTACCTTCCCATACTGACCAAAATATTCTTTCCGCTGCAGAAGCTGGCTCATAGAACATGAAGAGGGTTAATACTCCAAAAAAGTGAATTTGTGGGAGGAAAGCAAAAGAGATGATAGAGAAAACACAGTACATCTTCATCTGCTAGATTCAGAGGCAGTCCCACAATGTAGACAAGGTTCCGTTGAATAACCCTCACACTGGTAAGCTGCTTTCTACCTTCAGAAGTTTTAGTTTTTCCCTTCTGTGACTTGTGTTTCTTCTCCACATTCATTTCAACCATCAATCTGATAGCACAATAGAAAAGTTCAAGACGGCCACTATAATAATAGAGGTCAACAATTTCCAATGTAACATATGTCCATAACCAACCTTTCACACTTCGATGCTGTCCCCACTATTTTTTCCTTGTTATAAGGGTTACGACATGCTGGGCACCTCCCTTCTGTATCGTCCTTCTCAGCCATATCTATGATGTGGTGCCAGCACCAAACACAAATCTGCAATATGATGATTCTATATGTTAATAACAAGTTACATAAACCTTACACCACTTGGCCCATTGTACAGTTATAAAGAAGTTACAGGACTAAACAATTCGTTGAAATAGGTCTGTTGCATATAAGGGAATTGAGTACCATCCAATTGTTCACATAAATTATAAACTAATTTTTGAGGTAAGATCAAATAATTTTCTTGAAAAATTACTATTGCCCGTTTATATGATTCCTAGTCAAAATCTGAGCACTCCAAAACATAAACAAAATATCCAAATCCCAACAACGAAGGTTATGAGGAGTCAGGAGTGACACATGGCCCCGATAATTACTAAAAGTGCACCACAAAAACAATAATGAGTTAAAGTAAACAGATGAGTTTTGCATCCACTGTAATTCATGATACATGGATTATGGGGGGTGGTTGAACAGCAACTTATGACTAGCTAAAATGTGAAACTAAATAAAAGCATGTAAGAGAATTTGCAAAACCCCATTAGATTACTCTCCAATTGAGATCTTGAAGAGAGATGCGAGATTCCAACATATATCAAGAAGAATAGGTCCAAGTCTAGCCACTGTGGGACTCCAACATGCCCCATCCAACAGAAGCTATACAGGCACAGATTGTCCTAGAGTGTCAAGGGGGCTAAGGGCGTAAATATGTCCCAGAGTGTCGAGTCCCTAGAGTAGTAGACATTGGCTCTGATATCATATAAGAATATGTGGAACCCCAATAGATTACACTCCAAAAGTGCCCTTGAGGAGAGAGAGAATGGAAGTTCCTCAACATACATTGAAGAGACTATATCAAAGTCTAGCCGATGTAGGACTCTGACTGCATGACCATCGATTAATATCGTCAGGCCTTCCTTCTTTCAGAATACATTAGATAAAACTCATTGATACCAGAAACTTGGCAACCAAATTCTAGTTCTCACATGAGCAATCAGTTTCATGGATAATTACTTTCTAATAATTAAAAAGCTGATCCGAGGATTTAGACAAAAAAAAATAACTTGTGCAACAGATAGCCTTTAGAAAAAAATTGAACATACATCATAGCCACATTTGCAAGGCTTCAGCTGCTGATCTGTCAAATCCATCTCTTCAGCACAAAGTGGACAAGTCTTTTCTCCTTCATCACTCATGGTTGCCTTAAAAAACACAAGCAGCTCAATATAAACAAAATTGCAAATAACATACTACCCCAATTCTAACAGGCATAAATGAATATGCATGCTAACAATTTGCAATTTTACCTATCTCGAACAAGACAAGCTGCTAAGTGATATGGGCACCAACATAAACCACATAACAGTTATACTCCAAATATAAGCACATATTTGAAAGAATAAAAGTTTCTCTTATTCATCAACAAACCTAGATCAGGCACACTTACCTAATCCCGAAAAGGTGCTCCGAGTCGGAACCATGAAATTTCAGCACAGGAAACAATATTTTATTCTATTTCAGCAACCAACTTCATATATTGCATACGCATTGATAGAGATTTTTAAGAAACCATCAACGCAAACCATATCACAAATTGAAGGAAATAACAAAAGCTAAAAACAAAATAATTAAAAAGTAGAGATACAACCGAAAGGCGAAGACTCGCTAGCTATTTCCCCAAATCAAATCCATAAAACCCTATTCATTGGTAAATCTACCACTGATTCAACGAGAAGTTATTAAAATGACCGAAAAATCACTAAGTAACATCTACCAATAGTTAAATCAAATCGGAAAAACTCTGCGAAACCAAATCTCCCGAACAGGTACGAATCCACAACTAATTTTTTATCGATCAAGCTCAAATAAAGCTGCAAGAAATAACCTAGATATAGCATCTATGTTAACTCATCATAACATGAATATGAATCACAATCAAGAACATTAAACTACAATAATAAATAAATAAAATATGATTGAAAATACGGTCAGGCAAATCAAAAATTAGGGATCTCCAATCGAAACCAGAAAAAATAAAAACAACGAAGATCTATCAACAAATCAATCGATAAACAAATTGAGATCAAAGACTTACAGTTGGGCGATGGATCAACGATAGAGAGAGAGTAGATGGAGAAGCGAAGAGGATGAGAGAGAGAGAGAGAGAGAGAGAGAGAGAGAGAGAGGAGAGAGAGAGCCACAAAGCCTATGGAAACGCGAGAAAGAGAGAGGCGATCGTCTACGGATGTGTTTTTTTAAGCTTTCGCTGTTTTTGTGTGTTTGATTTTCTCTCATTTGTATTATTATTGCGATTTAAATATTTATCCCCATTAATCATGCCCTCCGATTTCGATATAATTACGATACGAACTGTGTATCATGTGTCCCGTTTTTTGTCGAGCATGATAGACGCTTGGGTTGGGTATGATTGCATCAACCTTTTTTCCTTAAAAAAATTCGACTAATTTACGGATCTGGTCCCTACGGTATACAAGTTTTTGCAGGATTTCCCTTTAAACTTCGTTTATTACGTAGGTAACCTTGTGGTATACTGGCCCTAACGTCCATCGACCAAGACCGTTAAGCTCAAGGGTAAAATCGTCTTTTCACTATTTTTGCTATTTAAAAAAAACGAAACTGAATTATGTGTTTTCTCTCTGGACAAGAAAACCTAGAAAAAAACCATAAGGACGAAGGGTGAATCTCATGGAGATTGATTCGAAACCCCATAGAGGTCGTTCCATGAAATCCAGTTTAAAAAGCCTTGGAGGTTAATCCATGAAACCTGATTCAAAAACCCTGAGAAGTCGGTGAATCTCATGGAGGCTGATTCAAAAACCCAAACAATCTTCCCAGGCCTCTTATATGTACAACATCGTTGCCCTTCTCCTGAGCACTATTCCCACTTCAAATCATGTCCTTTCACGTGTTGTAGAGATCACGTCCTTTCAGCAGAAATTGCATCTTGAGTCGTACTTTTACTCTGTCTCTGCATCTCAACCTTCTTCTACTATGTATTTGCTTATACTCAAATTTTGGGTTTAGATTTGATTTTAGGGTTGCTTTGTTTTTAGTTTGAGGATCTTATTTAGGGTTTGATTTAGAATCTTAATTGTAGTGTTTGTGATACAAATTATTTGAATGAAAATTATACAAAATTATTGTTTATGTTTACTGAATGTGTTTTACAAATAGCAAACTAAAAAACATAATTAAGTGATTATCTAAACTTAGAAGCTGTTTACCCAAATACTTACCCGATAAGTGTTTACTGTATGAATCAACACTATAATTTATTTTGGAGTAAGATTTTAATACATCAAAACATATTGAATGCAACAATTTACCGGGTAAATGCTTACCTGGGTAAGAATCGTAATCTTCACAACCACATCATTTGACGATGTTGAGAATGTTGTTTATAACTTCATAACTATTATAGTTTAGTTTAAAAAGATGGATTGTGTCAAATTCGGGAAAGGTCAATGCATATTCCTTATTTTGTGATGTAGGTGCACGAGCATCAATCTTAAGCTATCCTAATAATCAATATGATGAAATGAGGAGAGTCGAATTAAATTTAGAACCCGTTTACCTAATGCTTATTTGAGTAAGCGTTTACCAAGTTATATTACATTATCAGATAAATATAATAAAGATCATAAATCTTACCCGGTAAAAACGAGACAAAGATCGAAAGTCTTGTCGTTTGATAATTGGTGTTGGTGTTGGTGTTGGTGTTGGTGTTGGTGTTGGTGTGTGTTATGGGAAGGGGGAACGGAGGTGGAGGTATATATGGAGGAGGATTAAATTAATAAAATCCATGTCATTAATTATTGACATTTAATTAACTAGAAAATGTTAATATATAAAAAAGACCATTTTGTTCTCTTGTTTTAACGGATTTGGTGAATCCATGGAATAATGCATACCACAAAGTTATCCAAATAATAAATGAAGTTTAAGAACCAGTTTTAATTACATACCAAAGGAGACCAAATTTGTGATTTATTAAAAAGAAATAATAATAATTTATTTTATTTTAAACATATAATTATATTAGAGTGAATTACAAATTTGATCCCTGTGTTTTGGTTAAAATTGCAACCAGAGTTCCTTTAGAAGTTACGGTTTAGTCTCAGTAGTATCCATTCTCTTATAGTCATCAAGAACATCTCCAACAGATTCTCCAAAATGAAGAATCAAAATCTAAAATAAACCCATATCTAATAACAAATCAAAATCAAATAAACCCATATCCAAAATTGTTGAAGAAACGCATATCTAAATTAAGTAACAAATCATGATTCCAAACAAACTCGGATCCCAGATAAACCCATATCATAAATCAGAACCCAATGCCTAAATTGAACCACAATTAAAAAAACGAAAACTAAATCAAAACCCAAATCCAAAATCGAACCATAAATAAAAAACTACGAGACCCTTTATCAAAGGTTTACCCGGTAAGTGCTTACGAGATCACTTTACCTTATCAAACGAACATGACAAGGATTGAGAAATTTACTCGGTAAAAGAGATGACAAGGACCGAGAATTTTATATCGTAATTGAGATTAACAACTCTTATCCGATAAGCACTCACCGGATAAATTGTTGAACACAATGTTGTTTTAATAGACTAAAATCTTACTGATAAGTTAAGTTACAATGTTGACTCTTACGGGTAAGAGTTGGGTAAATGACCCATAAATATGAATCGAAACCTAAATCAAAACTTACGCAAATTAAAAAACTAAATCGAAACCGAAATTCAGGTAGAAAAGGTTGAGGGGTTTGGGTTGTAACGAAATCAAAATTTGAGCCTCCTTTATTTTCTCTTGTGTTGAGTTTATCTTGATAAAGTAACATACAAAATCCATTTTATTATAACTATTTTTCTAAACATTGTTGGAAAAAGAATCTTCAATAAAACTTATTAAAACTATATATTTGAATTCGTTAAGTAACTATTGATAAACATACTATAAATAAATACAATAAATACTAGAAAAGCACTAGAGATTGTTCTTTCTAAAATATCTTACATTTTAAAACTTTTCATATAACTAACCAATAAACATAAGAAAATCCGAGATAAAAAAACTACATTATTATTTTTTTAATAAAGTATATTATCTTTTTAATTTTAAATATAAAATATCTTAAATACAATTATCATTTAAATTAAATGATCAACGACCCTTAACAAAATACTTTATCATTATTTTTATAAAACAAATCATAATTAAACTAAAACAAAATATAGTTTTATTTTAAATCTAAATTACAATAAAACTTAAATTAAATAAATTAAACCATAAAATTAGAATTTTACAAACTTTTTTAGTTTGAAACCCATGTTGATATACAATTTAAGATAAAATAATAACCAACTCATCTCTGAATTTTTCAGTAAAATAAAATCGAGAAAGAAAAACAACAAAAAAAGTGTATATTTCAAAGACTCGCTGCATTGCGCGGCTAAACTTCTAGTACCATCTTATAAAACATATAGGTACGCTCTTAAATTTTAATAATACAGTAGATTAAAGCATTATGCATATATTTATTAATGCTTATTAATCATGGTTTATAGATATTTTTTACAAAAACATATCTTACATAGAACAACATGAGACAAAGTGAGTTACATATCCATCAAACGATTTAAGACTTTTGTAAACCCAAAACATATATTTAGGTACTAGAAGGTATTCGCGCAATGCAGCAAGATATATATTTATTTTAATGTTTCGTTTTATTTTTTGTTTTTGTTGATATAACACAGTTTATGTAGTTTTGAGAAAGATAATATTTTTACTTTTGAATAAAAATAAATTTGAAGACATCATAATTTTTTTTAAATATATCGATATTAATAGCAAATTAACTATTTAAAAGTTCTTGTTTTATATAACTTATTTAATTTATTTTTTTATTATAATTTAATTTAGGTCAAATAGTGAAGTAATTTATTTTTGGCTTAACAATAAATTTTTTATAAAGATAATGATTATGTTAGAACTCGATAATTATCTTAATTATATTTTAGATATTTTATATTTTAAAATGAGATATTTATCCTTTTATTCGTAGTTAGTTACACGAATTCAAACATGGAGCTTTAATATGTTGTACTTATGCATAATTTACTTGTAATCTTGAATTTTAAGTATACATTAATATACAGTATGCATAAAAATAGTTTTAAGAATTTTTGTCAAATGCTTTTTAATATAGTATAGATATAACCTTAAATAAGATTTTAATTAAATCATTTACCTTTTATTGAGTATGAAACCATTTTTTTAATTAATAGGTCAAAATTTTATGAATTTTATATGTTATAAAAAATAAATGTAACAAAATCAAATTGTCTCGCCGTTCACGTTTTTCTTGTAAAATCATTTTACGCATATTTTAAAAAGAATTGTATGTCGATATGAAAAACGTTACTCCACCTGTTTTTCTTCCTTGTTTGTTTACTTCCTCTTTACTTCTTATTCATCTGGAATACAAAAACGCCCTCAAAATATCTCTTCATATAATGCCCATTATTTACTCGAAACATCATTTGTAATTTTTGATCAAGTGTCGAAAGGTAAGTTGGATAATGCACATAGGAAAAGAGAAAAAGACGAGTCAACATTGAAAGGGATCTATCTAACTTCGATTAGCTTCACATAGTACATGATAGGTCAAAATGACCATGTTTGAAAAGGAATCTGAAACTTTAAAACTGTATCAATATTGTATTTATAAAGTACGTTTTTTATTTGGTCCAAAAGTATAAGACACATGTTGATGGTATTATGTGTTGCGAACAGAGTTTGCAAAGATAAACGGGAAAGATAACCACAAGGGTGGTGCCTGATTAGTTTGAGCTTGGTTCCAAAGATCAAAAGTACCAGGAAGTCTCAGGTTCAAATCCAATGGGAAATAAAAATCCTCTTGTGGCCACGGTGGCTCAAATGCGGTGACTCTTCGGGCTATCTGCAAAAAAAAGTATTCCCCTTGTTCTTTAGCTTGCATAGCAGGTTAAATATTCAGGTTAATAAAAAAAAAAGATAAACGGGAAAGTGGTAGAAGTATAAAAGTATTCCCCTTGTTCTTTATCTTGATTTTTTTTGGTTCGATGGAGCTACAGAAGAAATATCAAATAATCAGAGCACATAATTTACTAATTTACTTTTTTTTTTTTATGATTTTGATATTTG